CTCTGTTCTCAACCCCCTTCTTCCCTTTCGGGGAGGGGTTTACCCCTCCCCCTACCCCCTCCCCCTGGACCTGGAGAGGGGGTTTCGCGGGTGGTCAGAGGGTCCTTTTTCGACTCCTGGGAGGGCTAAAATTCGACACCCCTCACGAAGATTCTGGCCCCGACGGGGGTACTGACAAAAATGCTCGCCCCATCTGTGATCGATCGCCCGAAAGATGGCCCCAAGATACCTCCCAGACCCCTCCCAAAGAGCCCCAAGAGGCCCCAAGAGGCCTCCAAGAGGCCCCCAAGATGCCCCCAAGAGGCCCCCAAGAGGCCCCAATAGGCTACCCCGAGGCACCCAAGACGCTCCTGGAAGCCCCTGGAGCCGCCAAAAGGCCCCCGAGACGCCCCAAACGGCCTCCAAGAGGCTCCCAAGAGGCCCGAAGAGGCTCCCCCAAGGCACCCAAGACGCTCCTAGGAGCCCCTGGGGCCGCCAAGAGGCCCCCAAGACGTCCCAAAAGGCCTCCAAGAGGCACCCAAAAGACATCTACTACTACTACGACTACGACTACGACTACGACTACGACTACGACTACTACTACTACTACTACTACTACTACTACTACTACTACTACTACTACTACTACTACTAACTACTACTGCTGCTGCTGCTGCTGCTGCTGCTGCTGCTACTGCTACTACTACTACTACTACTACTACTACTACTACTACTACTACGACTACTACTACTGCTTACTACAACTACTACTACTACTACTACTACTACTCTACTACTACTACTACTACTACTACTACATGTACTCCACCTACTACCATCTACTACTACTACTACTACTACTCCTACTAACTTACTTCTAACCCTACTACTACTACTATTCTACTACTACTAACTACTACGACTAATACTACTACTACTACTTGACACTACTACTACTACGACTACTACTACTACTCCTACTACTACACTACTACTCTACTACTAACTTACTACTAGTTCTACTAGTTCTACTAGTTCTAGTTCTATGTTCTAAGTTTCTACTACTACTACTACTATACTACTAATACTACTACTCTAATACTACTACTACTACTATACTACTACTACTACTACACTACTACTCCACTACAAGGGCCCCGAACGACTCACACCAGGACGAGGGGCCCAAACGACTCACACCACGAAGAGCCAGAACGACTCACACCAGAAGGAGGGGCCCGAACGACTCACACCAGGACGAGGCGCCCGAACGACTCACACCACGAGGAGCCCGAACGACTCACACCAGGACGAGGGCCCCGAACGACTCACACCACGAGGAGCCCGAACGACTCACACCAGGAGGAGGAGCCCGAACGACTCACACCAGGACGATGGGCCCGAACAACTCACACCACGAGAAGCCCGAACGACTCACACCAGGACGAAGAGCCCGAACGACTCACACCACGAAGAGCCCGAACGACTCACACCAGGAAGAAGGGCCCGAACGACTCACACCAGGACGAGAGGCCCGAACGACTCGAACCACGAGAAGCCCGAACGGCTCACACCAGGACGAGGGGCCCGAACGACTCACGCCACGAGGAGCCCGAACGACTCACACCAGGAAAAGGGGCCCGAAGGACTCACACAAGGACGATGGGGCCGAACGACTCACACCACGAGGGGCCCCAACGACTCCCACCAGTCGTCGTCGTCGTCGTCGTCGTCGTCGTCGTCGTCGTCGTCGTCGTCGCCGCCGCCTTCGTCGTCGTCGTCGTCGACGTCGTCGTCGTCGTCGTCGTCGTCGTCGTCGTCGCGGTTGTGGTCGTCGTCGTCGTCGTTGCGGTCGATATCGTCGTCGTCGTCGGGTGCGTCGTCGTTGTTAGGATCATCGCTGTGGTCGTCGTCTCCGCTAAATCCCTCTTGCCTCCCACCGCTTTCTCTCCCTCCTCCTCCGCCTCTCGTCCTTCTCCCGCTCCCACCACAAGGAGGATGTACAAGGAGGCGGGAGGAAGGTGGAACAAGGGAGATATGCGGGGGCAAGCGGACACACGCCTGAAAAACACGACTGTCGGCATGCTTCGCAAGATTTTCTGTTTTGAGATGGGCTGGTGGGGATACGCGAAGCGTGAAGAATTCCACTCCTAAGACGTCATCAACGCGAACCCACGTGACCACTGCGTCCTGGCAGTCCTATACTGTACCAGAACACCATTTCTGGGACTCCAGCCTTACGGGTCTTCCGAACGGTTGTAAACTTCTAACAAGACATGCGCGTGGCGCTACAACGAGCACCACACACTTTGAGACGGAGCCCGTCTCCATCCTTGAAGCTGTTGCGGCTTATGACAACGAATTCGCGCGGCGCTGAGGGGAGAGCTCCATTTTGAAAAAACGGCCCGCCCCCCATCTGTGAGACTGTTCAAAACATGTTGAACTGATGCGTGGCGCCACAGCGAGAGCTCCGTTTTGAAAACGGCCCGCCCCCATCTTTGAAACTGTTCAAAACATTTGGAACGAATGCGTGGCGCCACAACGAGAGCTCCGTTTTGAAAACGGTCCACCCGCCCATTTCCCGTGCATGTTTCGGTTTCGGCGTGGTTGTTTCTCGCAGGATGATCCAGGATGCTCCTCAATAATCCCCGCCGAGAAAAGTGCACACGTCCGAGCGATACTATGTTCAAGCTCTGATCTTTCTCAGGCCTCAGGATCGTAAGCGGTGGGGCAGTCTCAGGCGACACGCTCGGCCTGGCCTGCGGACGCGTCCGCGGATGCGACAGGGAAGAGCGAGCCATCAGGACAAAGGCTGGAGGAGGAAGAGGACGTGGGAGGAGGGAGAGGAGCAGAGGAGGGAGAAGGAGGAGGAGGAGGAGGAGGAGGAGGAGGAGGGAGAACAAGGAGGGAGACAGGTCAGAACGCTCTGATGATTATTGGCAGGACTACACCGAGGAGGAGGGGGAGGCGGCGTTCGGAAGAGGGGAAGAGTAGTCGTCCTCGTCTGTAATTAGTCGGCAGGCATCAGGAGGACGCGGGGCGGCCGGAGGAGGAGGATGCGGACGACGATGACGGAGAGGCGGAGGCATGGGCATTGATGATGAAGATAGGACGCTGATGCGGACGCGTCGGCTGAGAGGAGGACGACGAGGACGAGGAGGAGGAGGAGGAGTAGGAGGAAGAGTAGGAGGAAGAGGAGGAGGAGGAGGAGGAGCAGGAGGAGGAGGAGCAGGAGGAGGAGCCTCTGCCGCTGCTCCCGATCGTCTCTTGCTCCTCCTCGCCCTCCTCCCGTGGCCCGTGCAAGCTGGCGGGCTCCCTGGCGGCCCGGGGGCCGGGGCCTGGCAGTACTTCTCCGCGAACAGCTCGAGTATGCGCGAGATCTTCTGGGCCTGGGGCATCGCTGCGAAGATAGGCTCGGGGGCGTTCTACGACCCAGCCCAGACGCGCCCGATCAGCGTAATGGGTTTTTACAACCGCATCCTCGCGAGCGCGGCCAAGATACGGATGGAACGAGTGTTCCGTAGTTCCCCACATTCTTCGTGGGGTTCTGGTTTTCTTCCCTGCCGCGCCGCACCCGCGACACTCACACCTCACTCTTCCCTTCCTCCTCACAGCACTGTTCAGCACATCTCAGCTCAGCTCAGCTCAGTTCAGCACGGCACAGCTCAGCACGGCACAGCTCAGCACAGCACTTTCTCACTTGCATTAGTGCTGACAGCACACACATATTCACAGCACATCTACACACAACACACACACAGGCACACATACACACATACATACTCAGGCACAACGACACAGACACATACACACAGACACACAAGCACACACAGGCACACAGACACTACCTCACCCAAGCGCAATACCTGCACGGCACGTACACGAGACACGCGTAGCACACTTCACAACACAGCAAAGCCTAGCAGGCGTGGCACTTTCTCGACACCAGAGGGGGTGCGCAGGGGGTGGTCCCTGAGCTCGCCCGCCATCCACGACACTGGCGCAAAGCCTAGCAGGCGTGGCACTTTCTCGACACCAGAGGGGGTGCGCAGGGGGTGGTCCCTGAGCTCGCCGGCTATCCACGACACAATCGCAAAGCCTAGCAGGCGTGGCAGTTTCACGACACCGTAGGGGGTGCGCAGGGGGTGGTCCCTGAGCTCGCCGGCTATCCACGACACTGTCGCAAAGCCTAGCAGGCGTGGCAATTTCACGACACCGTAGGGGGTGCGCAGGGGGTGGTCCCTGAGCCCCCCCGCTATCCATGACACTGGCGCAAAGCCTAGCAGGCGTGGCACTTTCTCGACACCGTAGGGGGTGCGCAGGGGGTGGTCCCTGAGCTCGCCCGCTATCCACAACACTGGCGCAAAGCCTAGCAGGCGTGGCAGTTTCACGACACCGTAGGGGGCGCGCAGGGGGTGGTCCCTGAGCCCCCCCCCTATCCACGACATTGTCGCAAAGCCTAGTAGGCGTGGCAGTTTCACGACACCGCAGGGGGTGCGCAGGGGGTGGTCCCTGAGCTTGCCCGCTATCCACGACATTGTCGCAAGGCATAGCAGGCGTGGCATTTTCTCGACACCAGAGGGGGTGCGCAGGGGGTGGTCTCCCTATGCGTGCCAGGGTCGTCCAGGCATAGCAGGCGTGGCATTTTCTTGACACCAGAGGGGGTGCGCAGGGGGTGGTCTCCCTATGCGTGCCAGGGTCGTCCAGGCATTGCAGGCGTGGCATTTTCTCGACACCAGAGGGGGTGCGCAGGGGGTGGTCTCCCTATGCGTGCCAGGGTCGTCCAGGCATAGCAGGCGTGGCATTTTCTCGACACCAGAGGGGGTGGTCACGGGTGGTCTCCCTATGCGTGCCAGGGTCGTCCAGGCATAGCAGGCGTGGCAGTTTCTCGACACCAGAGGGGGTGCGCTATGCGTGCCAGGGTCGTCCAGGCATAGCAGGCGTACCATTTTCTCGACACCACAGGGGGTGCGCAGGGGGTGGTCTCCCTATGCGTGCCAGGGTCGTCCAGGCATAGCAGGCGTGGCATTTTCTCGACACCAGAGGGGGTGCGCAGGGGGTGGTGTCCCTATGCGTGCCAGGGTCGTCCAGGCATAGCAGGCGTGGCATTTTCTCGACACCAGAGGGGGTGCGCAGGGGGTGGTCTCCCTATGCGTGCCAGGGCCGTCCAGGCATAACAGGCGTGGCAGTTACACGACGCCGTAAGGGGTGCGCAGGGGGTGGTCCCTGAGCTCGCCCGCTATCCACAACACGGGCGCAAAGCCTAGCGGGCGTGGCAATTTCACGCCACAGTAGGGGGTGCGCAGGGGGTGGTCCCTGAGCTTGCCCGCTATCAACGACATTGTCGCAAAGCGTAGTCGGCGTGGCAGTTTCACGACACCGTAGGGGGTGCGCAGGGGGTGGTCCCTGAGCTTGCCCGCTGTCCACGACATTGTCGCAAGGCATAGCAGGCGTGGCATTTTCTCGACACCAGAGGGGGTGCGCAGGGGGTGGTCTCCCTATGCGTGCCAGGGTCGTCCAGGCATGGCAGGCGTGGCATTTTCTCGACACCAGAGGGGGTGCGCAGGGGGTGGTCTCCCTATGCGTGCCAGGGTCGTCCAGGCATTGCAGGCGTGGCGTTGTCTCGACACCGGAGGGGGTGCGCAGGGGGTGGTCT